AAAAAAAAAAAAAAAGGAGGGGAGTCATCGGCATCACAGGTGCTGAGCCCAGCTGTGACCCTGCAGAAATGCTTTGGTGATGAGTACTATCGCACCGCAGAGGAGGAGAAGCCACAATTTGAGGAGGAGGAAGGGATTGAAGGTGAGGTCTGCCAGGCACCAGGCTGCAGGTGGGAGCTGGGGCTGCCTGAGGTCTTGCCCAGACCCCACATCTCTCTCCTCTCTGGAACCAGATGACTGGAACTGGGACACATGGGATGGACCAGAGCAAGATGGAACATGGAGCCAGCAGGAGCCTCACTGTGAGGACCCCAACTTCAATGTAGGTGCCATGGGTTGGGAGGGATCCCAGGGAACCTCAGAAGGTCCTGAAGGCTGCTGGATCTGACCTGTGCATCCTGGCAGATGGATGCTGACTATGACCTCAGCCAGCAGAAGAAGAAACGTGAGGCACCCTTGATGGGCAAGAAGAAGCGCAAGTCCCACTTCGCTGCAGCTGTGGGGCAGGAAAAGCCTGTGTTCGACCCTGGTAAGGCCTGGGTGGGTGGGCTATGGGTAAGCTGGGGTCTTTGCAGGACCTGGCATGCCCTGGCAGCCTGGTTTTGTGTTGTGCAGGGGACAAGACGTTTGAGGAGTACCTGAATGACTATTACCGGCTGGACTACGAGGACATCATCGATGACCTGCCCTGTCGCTTCAAGTACCGCAATGTGGTGCCCTGTGACTTTGGGCTCAGCACTGAGGAGGTGGGGCCCTGGATGGGCAGAGAACACTGGGGGTGCCTTATATTCAAGAGGAGCTGTCTGCCTCCTCACAGATGCCATAAAATGACAACCTGTTTGTTATCTCAAAAATGGTAGTAATAGAAGGCTGGGTGCCCATAGCTCAGAGGTTAGGGTGCCAGCCACATGCTCTGGGACTAGTGGGTTTGAACTTGGCCTGGGCCTGCTAAACAAACAAACAAACAAAAAAATAGCTGGGCGTTGTGGCGGGCTGCTGTAGTCCCAGCTACTAGGGAGACTGAGGCAACAGAATCACTTCAGCCCAAGAGTTTGAAGTCATCATGAGCTATGATGCTACAGCACTCTACCGAGGGCGACAAAGTAAGACTCTGTTTCAATTAAAAAAAAACAAAAACCAGACTCCCAGTACTGTGGGAGGCTGAGGCAGGAGAATTGCTTGAGCTCGGGAGTTCAAGGCTTATCTGAGCAAGAGTGAGACTCCCACTCATGAAAAAAATGGAAAAACCCAGCCAGGACCCGCAGCAAGCATCTGTAATCCCAGTGGCTTGCAGAGGCTGAGGCAGTGGGATGCCCATAGCCAGAGTCTGAGGTTGCAGTGAGCTACGACATCTTTGCACTCTGTTCAGGGCATAGGATAGAACTCTGTCTCCACCAAAAAAAAAAAAACAGTCTCAGCGCCTATGGCTCAGGAGCTAGGGCACCAGCCACATACACCGGAGCTAGCAGGTTCAAATCCAGCCTGGGTCTGCCAAACAACGACAATTCCAACCAAAAAACAGCTAAGCATTGTGACAGGTGTCTGTAGTCCCAGCTACTCCAGAGGCTGAGGCAAGAGAATCACTTAAGCCCAAGAGTTTGAGGTTGCTGTGAGCTGTGATGCCACGGCATAATACTGAGGGCAACATAATGAGACTCTGCCTCAAAAAAACAAACAAAAAAAAACTTCAGAAAATGTTAGTAATAAGGCAGAGTGCAGTGGCTCATGCCTGTAATCCTGACAGTAGGTTAAAGCAGGAGAACTGCTTCAGATTAGGAGTTCAGGACAGCCTGGACAACATAATGAGACCCCCTTCTCTGCAGAAAATTTCGAGTGTTGTGGCACACCTGTAGTGCCAGGTACTCTAGAGGCTGAGGCAGGGGGATTCTTGAGCCCAGGAGTTTGAGGCTGCAGTGAGCTATAATCGTGCAACTGCACTCCAGCCTGATAATAGTAAAACTCCATCTCTTAAAGAACAACTTCTGAATTGAACTTTAAGTGTAATATAGTCCTTAGAAAACACAACTTTAATAAAAATGGAAACTAAAAAAAGAACAACTCCTACCTCATGGCTGTAGAGCAGAAGCAAAATCAAACGTGTGGCTGTTTGCATGGTGCCTGTTCAGTCATGAGCACCGACTGTCTCTCAGCAATGACAGCTTGACTATTTTAATGGTCAGTAACAATGGCTGTCATTAATTGAATACCATCCTCATTCACTCATTCCTAACAACCTTCCAGTAGGTTCTGTGGGGATATCTACCCCATAAATAAGGAAATTGAGGCCTATAAGTTGGCAACATGAACCTTATCTGGAGATTAGTCAACCTGGTGGTTGCCAGAGATTCCTGCTCTGTTATGAGGCTTTGGGGAGCAGCAGTGTACAAGTGAGGAGTCAAGGGTCTTCGGGTTCTAAGCATAATCTGAAGTCAGCTGGCTTCTTGGCCATGTAATCTAGGACAAAAATCCCTTCTGGAGTCTCAGTTTCTTATCTGGTGACCTCTGCTGGGTGGTGCTGGCATTCATCTTGTTTTGACCAATAAGGTGACAAAGGCTCAGTGTCAGGGCTGCCAGGGAATTACCATCCTTCCCCACACAGATCCTTGCTGCTGATGACAAGGAGCTGAACCGGTGGTGCTCTCTGAAGAAGACCTGCATGTACAGGTGACAGGGCTGGGCCAGATGTCCTAGGAGGAGGGGTCAGCAAGCATGGGCACCTCCCAGAGCAGCCAGTGACAGGCATGTCTATTGGGTGCCTACAGGTCAGAGCAGGAGGAACTGCAGGACAAAAGAGCTTACAGCCAGAAGGCCCAGAACTCATGGAAAAAGAGGCAGATTTTCAAGTCTCTCTGCTCAGAGTAAGCATCATTGACCCGGGCTTGGGTAGGGGGGAGGGGTGTGAGGGTGGGCCAGGAGCCTGCCAGAGCCAAATTTGCTCTGGCAGGCCCTTGTTAGTTGACCTTGGGAATGGAGTTTCCTCTGAGACATGGGTTCAAATCCTGCCTGGGCCATAGCTTGGGCAAGTCACTGGCCTTCTCTGGGTCTAATTTTTCATCTATAAGATAAAGTTAAAGGGGTGGCGCCTGTGGTTCAGTGAGTAGGGCACTGGCCCCGTATACCAAGGGTGGCGGGTTCAAACCCGGCCCCAGCCAAACTGCAACAACAAAAAATAGCCAGGTAGGCTCAGCGCCTGTGGCTCAAGTGGCTAAGGCGCCAGCCACATGCACCTAAGGTGGCGGGTTCGAATCCAGCCTGGGCCCGCTAAGCAACAATGACGGCTGCAACCAAGGAAAAAAAAAAATAGCCAGGTGTTGTGACAGGGACCTGTAGTCCCAGCTACTCAGGAGGCTGAGGCAAGAAAATCGCCTAAGCCCAGGAGTTGGAGGTCACTATGGGCTGTGACAACACGGCACTCTACCAAGGGCAATAAAGTAAGACTCTGTCTTTAAAAAAAAAAAGATAAAGTTAAAGATGGTTCTACCTCATCAGGTTGTTGGGGATTGAGTTAATTCCTATAAAGTGATTAAGGTACAGTAAATACCCTATAGGCATTAGCTATTATCGTGATTATGATTGTTATTTCCCACTCTATAAGGCAAGGGTGATAGCTTATGGAGTTGCTTTAAAGCTAAATTGAATTAATTTATGTAAATAGCTTAGTGTAAGCTCAAACACAAATACCACAATTATCAGTATCACAAATCCAGCCTTTGGGTTCAGTAGAAAAATCCTGGCTTTGGGCAAGTGGAGTGGCTCATGCCTGCAATCCTAGGACTTTGGGAGGCCAAGGAAGAGTATTGCTTGAACCCAGAAGTTTGAGACCAGACTGGGCAACATAGTGAGACCCTATCTCTACAAAAAAATAAGGAAATGAGTAGGCTATGGTGGTGCATGCCTCTATTCCCAGCTATGTGGGAGGCTGAGTTTTTATTATTTTTTTTTCTTTTTAAGAGACAGAGTCTCAGGCAGTGCCTGTGGCTCAGTGAGTAGGGCGCTGGCCCCATATACCAAGAGTGATGGGTTCAAACCCAGCCCTGGCCTAACTGCAGTAAAAAAATAGCCACGTATTGTCTGTAGCAGGCGCCTATAGTCCCGGCTACTTGGGAGGCTGAGGCAAGAGAATCGCCTAAGCCCAAGGAATTGGAGGTTGCTGTGAGCTGTGACTTCACGGCACTTTACCAAGGATTAATAAGTGAAACTCTGCCTCAAAAAATAAATAAAAATAAAATAATAATAATAAAAAAGAGACAGAGTCTCAATTTATTGCCCTTGGCAGATTGCCATGGCATCACACCTCACAGCAACCTCCAACTCCTTGGGCAATTCTCTTGCCTCAGCCTCCCGAGCAGCTGGGACCACAGGCGCCCGCCATGATGCCCAGCTCTTTTTTGTTGCAGTTTGGCCAGGGCCGGGTTTGAACCCGCCACCCTTGGTACATGGGGTTGGCACCCCACTCACTGAGCAAACAGATGCTGCCCAAAGCTGAGTTATTTGAGTCCAGGAGTTTGGGGCTGCAGTGAGCTATGCTTGTGCCACTGCCCTCTAGCCTGAGGAGCAGAGTGAGACCCCAAGACCTGCCTTAAGAAAAATCCAGGCTCGACACCTGTGGCTCAAGTGGCTAAGGCGCCAGCCACATACACCTAAGGTGGTGGGTTTAAATCCAGCCCGGGCCCACCAAACAACAATGATGGCTGCAACCAAAAAATAGCTGGGCATTGTGGCTGACGCCTGTGGTCCCAGCTACTTGGGAGGCTGAGGCAGGACACTTGCTTGAGCCCAGGAGTTGGAGGTTGCTGTGAGCTGTGA